AATATTCATCATTCGAGGCTGAATCCGAATATGTTATTAAAAATGTTCCATGTCTTAACAGTGATTTTTAAACCTGTTTTATCAACTTGGGGTCCGGACGGACCCCAGGTGGGCAACAAGTGATAGTGAGTCCTATAGGTGGGCGGATGAGGGTTAAATCCCGAACAAGTATTATCATGGATTATAACAGTTAACCAAGATTTAGATGTGACAAGTAAATTTGAACCATGTGTAGATAATATTGCTGATAGATTTGATGAACGAGTGTATGAAGGATATTTTTAAAAGAAAAACTGAAGAATTATTTTATTCGATTCATGGAATATATCGGGACTGTGAAAGAGATCTAATGTGTTTATCCTGAATCAAACTAACTTAGTGCAATTGCAAATGAAATTATTTTAAAGAAACACACATGTTATCAGAACTTTCGCTTATACTATGATTTTCAAGAAAAGGTTTTCCAGGGGCCCTCTGAAGACCTCATACAGACCTCGAAACTATGTCCATTGGATTCGTCATCAGTTTTTACCTATGTGAACAAATTTTCACTTGATTTGGATAAAAAAATAAACATTCTATGTAAAAATGACGTCCCCCTTTTTCGTATCATACAGTAAAAATGATTTTTCTCAACATAGAAAAGAAAAGGAAAAAAAAGAATACGCAGTTTGATGACGGGTGGTATGATGAATGGAATGAGATAAAATAATTGACTCCATCGTTTACATAGAAAAAGTAGATAGGTTTAGAAAATCCACCTATACGTATCATAGTCGACACAATTCGAAGCGCCACCACCAATAGAGTTTTGGGTCTAAAGTCGATTTACCAGCTTATCTATATTCAGTTTTTGATGCTGAATCTGAAAAAATTATTTTCAGAAGTTGAAAAAAAGAACGAGCTATAAAATGTTGCACATTTTTGAAAAGCATGTGTTTTTGAAGAAAACGACACATCTGAAGTATATCGTATTTTCCGACTGGAAGGAAGCGTTCACTCAGGCTAAAAAGTAGATTTTCGTGATCAGCAGCTCAAACTCTATCAAATGATGTAAAAAAAAGCGAAAAAAAAAATTTTTACTCGAAATTTGCGCTGTCGGCACCTTACAAAGAATTAAAAAATGCCGAACAAAGATCAGTTTTCCGCGGAAGTTTTCTACAAACTCTCTGGAAAATCCAAAGTCCAGAAAGGTTATTCTTCCAAAAAACTACAGCAGATTTGTAGAGAACATTGAGTTACGTATACGTGCCAAGACAGAGCCCAAACGGACACAAACTTCATGGTCAAAAGCCTGATTAACTGTTTGATAGTGAAGAACTCTGATGAGTGCGTTACCGCTTATTCTCCGAGAGAAATGAATTAAAAAAAATTAAGACGTACATCCGCTTTGAGAGTAGCTCTTGTTAAAAGACCGCTATATGTCTCACAGAGAAAATGTGCTACGCATAAATCTATTATAGTGTATAAAAATAGTAGTAGAATAAAGATGAGTACAATTTCACAAAAAAGAATATATTTTGATAAAATTATAATGTACGATTATTCACAATAAATTTTAATTTTAACGGTCCTGTACAAGAAATGTATAAGATCGTCTTGTTATACGTTCCAATGGTGCAACATTTTCTTTAATTTTCTGTAAAATTTGTTTTTTACGCGAGAGACATGGTGGTACTGTTGTTATCGGTTTCTCTTCATCATCTAATTTAATGATAACCTTTGATAGATCCGTTTTGGAATGTGTGTCATTTACTTGTTTTTTTACATAAACATTAGATTTCTCATTTCGTTGATCACGATTATTGAGTGATAATATTAATTTTTCTTGGTCAATTTTAACTCGTTTTCTTGGTGGTGGGGACAGCTGACATAAACTATGGTCTAGAATATCCAGTTTAGAATCTGCACAGGGTAACGATGTTGTTGATTGTTCTGATTCGAGTCGTTGATATGAGGAATTATGTTTCCATCTACTACCATCTTGTTCTTGTATATTATTATAAAGTACAACATCATCCATTAAATCCATTTCTTCGTCATCAACAGATTTACTAATTAATTCTCGTTTTTCATTCATTTCGATTGCTGTTGCTGATTGACTCTGGCGTTGTGTTTGTTTTAATTAGAAAATTTCTTCTGTTTTATTCAAGTAAATATATGACTACTATTATATATAGATATTGTTTGAAGTTGGAAGGAGGAAAAGCAGAACCTGTTCACTGTTACAGTTGAATGAATTTCCTGTTCTTCTTCATTTTATCTGCTATCATTCTGTGTCATCGTATGTATGAGTAATATATTCGTCTTATTTTTATTTTTATCGACCCACATATTAGGCACACAGCTGTAACGGAGTGATTGATTATTTATTGACTTCATAATTACTAACGCAAACGTGCGCTTTCACACATTTATTTTAAATGAATAAAGTATGAATAAATAAAAGTACATAGAATCTTTATTTCTCATGAATGATTCAAGTGTGGATTTGCCTTCTAGAAATCTTTAAATGAAGAGAGCAGAAAAAATTAATTTACGCACGAACACTTTTCTACGGGAGCTAGGATGGGGACAGTTCCAGTTCACGATCAACAAGAACTGGACTGGGAACCACTTCTTTTCAAAAAATTAAAAATAAAATAAAACCGGTGAACCTATTATCCATTTCAAAAAAGAAAGAGCATGGCCATTTGTTTAGTAACTTTTTCCAGGATGTAGCTATCGAGCTGCGGTTTTCACTAGTCGAAAGAAAAATGTTGGGGCAATAAGAAAAACCAAAAATTATTGTCTCAGAATCACCTGCAGGTGGTGCACCCTGCGAAGATATTTTGCGAAAGATGTCACAACTGAAAAAGTTTCGAATTTTAACTTTTGAGACGACAGGCAGGTAGCCCGGACTGAGATATTCGTTTCTAGAGCAGTTCTAGGTCGTTAGCTTACAAGGTTCCGGAGTTAGAAAGGTTCTCCGGAGACCACGCTGACTCTGTCCGGACACGTCGGAAGATCTCGGAAAGACTTTAAACATAAGTTACCGAATGTGCTGCTCAACGTGGCAATGTTTGTTTTTGACTAGAAGTTGATCCAAGGTCACCAGGATATTTTTAATGAAAAAACGGATTTTTGCATGAAGCCTGTCAAAACTAGAGTTGCCGTATATCAGCCTTTTGAGTCAGAAACACACCAAATTTTCGGTAGATATATGAAAAATGACCATAAATCAGATAGTGCTTGTAAAACTGCAAAATTGTGGATTTTCCAGGCCTAGGTTTTACAGGAGGTTTCCAGAATCTCATATCTGAGAACTCGTTCAGCATCAATACACTATTCTAAGTGTTTCCTAAAAATTTAGTGTGTTTCTGACTTAAAATGGCTGATATACGGCAACTCTAGTTTTGACAGGCTTCATGCAAAAATCCGTTTTTTCATTAAAAATATCCTGGTGACCTTGGATCAACTTCTAGTCAAAAACAAACATTGCCACGTTGATCAGCACATTCGGTAACCTATGTTTAAAGTCTTTCCGAGATCTTCCGACTTGTCCGGACCGAGTTAGCGTGGTCTCCGGGGAACCTTTCTAGCTGCGGAACCTTGTAAGCTAACGACCTAGAACTGCTCTAGAAACGAATATCTCAGTTCGAGCCACCTGCCTGTCGTCTCAAAGTGCGTTTAGCTGACTAACCCGAGTCAATATTACTAGCTATATCGATTTTATTTTACTTTACATTCTTGAAAAGAACTGCTACGGGTTCGCGTTCAACAAGAACTGAACTGGTGACTGGTAACCAGTCCTTAGGAACTATAGTAACTGAAAATGCCCCGCGACAGACGGGAGCCTTTTCTCATTCGTACATTTGTATGGCACGACTGTGAGAATGTTTGTCAGAATTCTAACGCTAAAACGCGTACATAAATTTTTTGATCAAGCCTATGCGGATACGTCAGTTACGTTTTTATATTATCTGTATTCACTTTAAAAAAAATAACTAAAAAAGGGTATTTCCATGCCGGGATACCCTTTCTGGAATCTCTCAGTAACAAATGCATATACCCTCTCTGTTTTAGTCCTCTGGAATTAGAAATACTCCTAACCGTATTTTACAATGCCATTTTGGTACAATACCCTTTCTGGTTTTGTAAGATTTCTTTGTGAGTATTCCTCATGCCACAGAACCAAAAAAAGAGGGTATATACATTTGTTACTCAGAGATCCCAAAAAGGGTATCCCGGCATGGAAATATGCTTTTTTGGTTCTGTACGATACTAAAATTATTTAGAGAGTACGCGATCGAGATTCATCAGAGTAAAGTCTTGAATATTAATCCGAAGTTCGCTAGTTCAATCATTCCTGACTTGTTTTCGCTTTCTATGCTAATATCTTCTTTTCTCTTTATTCCATTGAATGCATAAGCAACTGCACGTGTATACGATAGACACTACCTGTACAATCTGCAGCACGCATCTCTTTTCGATTAAATATTAATCTTATTTGGGGCAATGCCTTAGTAGGAAGATGTTTTCAACCTTATCAAAAAAACAAACAATTTTTGTTTTTTCTTTCAAACTTTTAGACTGTGAAAAGCTTGTATAATTAATACAGAAAATTTAAAAAAAACAAATGATAATTTTTCTCTAAACTCTATGAGAATGTTTTTCAGTATTCGCAAATTTTCGACAGCTGCTTCTTAAATTATATCTGAATCGAAGGGAGCTAAGTCCATGATTTAAATACTAGGCTTAACGCTGCGAGAAATTATGAATAAAATTTTTTAAATTCAAAAATATCGTTCTTTAGTGCTTACTCGTTCGGTGTAAAAGGTTCACAAACCTAGATTAAAAGTACAAGAATAATGGAGTCTATGAACTTTGAATGCCCTACAAAATGGGTCATTAAAATATAAAATTCTTAGTTCAATATTCAAAAATTAAGGTAAACGATTAAAGTAAACGAAGCTGCTGATCAAAAATAAGAGAAATGCTGAACCTATTTGCCGAAACTTTCTTCTATTTGAGGACACTTTCTCGCGAATTGCGAAACAAAAAACAAGAATTAACTATTTTTGACTGAGATAAAGTGGGACATTCACTGACAACGATGCATGAAAAAGTTAATCAGTAGATAGAAAAGATTATCAGCTACAAACTTTCAGCAAAAGTCTAAAGTTTTTTCTGTACGCAACCGCATCCACAGCAGCCTCATTTGGGCTGCCACTGACCCAAAAGATTTTTGTATTAATTTTGTCCTACTTACTTTGTTACGGAAGCTCACCGTAAATTTAATACAATGTGTTTCAATCTATAAAAAGACATCTGATCGACTTCACATCTTAAAATTTCATAATATGCTTTGCGGGCAACGACTTATTAATCCAAAACTTCATTATTAATGCAGCTGTTTTAAACTTCATTATTTTTATTTTTTATTTTGTAATATTTCGACCCTTTATACGGCCATTTTCAAACGTAAAGCTGATTGTGCATAAAAGTAAAACCTATATATACAACTTGTTTTCTTTTTCCTTTCTTTTCTTTTGACGTGCTAGTCTGAAAGAAAAGTGCACAATCATTCTAAAACACGTGTGTTTTGTATGTGCATATAAAAAACTAGTCAAACATCATTAGAGCCGTATCAAATAAGGGATATCTATATCTTTTCACTTCTCGGCAAATGTGAGCAAATGTCTATATAGACATTTGCTCACATTTGCCGAGAAGTGAAAAGATATAGATATCCCTTATTTGATACGGCTCTATTATCAATACATAATCATAAAGTATTTTTCAACCTCTCGGGCAAACATCGTCTATGGGAAAAATCTACATACATTTTGTCTGTAATCAGGCGACGCACGACTAGTTGCCATCTAGATTACTAGTTGGAAAAGGGATTTTTAACTAGATGCGTCTGCATGTGTAACTTGCAACAGTTAAATCGATCGATTATCGGCGATAAATCGAAAGTTGTCGTGACCCAATAGTTGTAATCGAGTAAAAATCTAGTAATCTAGATGAATCGGACGATACTAGATTTCTTTTTGACGCTTGGGCTTGACCTTCTCAATTGTAAGTCCTACCATCTTCTTTGCTTGCGTCAGGGAAAACATACAGCGGGGCAGATCGATCTGTTCCATTCAAAACTGATGCAGCAGAAGGAATCAACAGTGACTCTTTTACTAGTAACCGGTATCTGTGTTGTTCTCTTTGTAGAATGCGGAAGTCTATATCTTTCATTACGTGTTCAGTAGTCTGATAATGTTTTCCGATTGCTGAGTTTAACTGTGGTTCTTTTGAGTTTTCTTTGATATTAGATAACGTACTCAGCAATTCCTCTAGACTGTCCTAATTTAATTGTTGTACTTTACGTTGTGATTTCTCATTTGTGAACGTGTTACCGGACCCGATCAGGAAGCATTTGTGGTCGTTTTTTCCGGTGTTACGATTATTTTCATTATTCTAAGTGGTCCTCCTGTATCCTTCGCTTTAATCAACTTCTCCTGTTCTTTTAGATGTTCTGAGATTCGAGTTTTTAGATGACGACACGTTTTTCCTATATACGTCTGACCACATTCACTACATCTTGCTTCATACACTAATCCTGATTTTAAATGAGTAGGTACAGAATCTTTCGGACTAAAACCTAAGCCTATTTTAGACGCAACATCATAGACTATTCCAACATTTTTATATGGATAAATTCTATTCACCGCTGCTACAATCCTCTTGCCGTAAGCTTGACTGCATGCTCCAAAATACGGTATACGAAATACAACGCTTTCACTTGAAGACGGGTCAGTAGAAGTAGCAGGTGTTACGTTCTTAGTGCACATCTTAGCTAGTTGTTTGCCAGTGATAGAATTGACAAAGTATAACGGATACCCATTATTAGCTAAATTGCGAATGAAATCGAATTCTTTGTGGAGAGAACCGAAGGACGAACAGATCTTCACAGCACGAAAAGCCATTGTGTTGATTGCATTTTGTTTATAACGTTTAGGAACGAAACTGTGCCACTTCGTCAATAAACCAGAGAAAGTCTTTTTTCGATAAACTTCAGTTTCAAATCCGTGGGCAGTTCTTGTA